GAATGGGCATCAAGTATTGGGTATGTTTCATATTTGCAACTAGCTCTTTAGTATAATTTCTTGCTTTTCTTTGGTGTGTATACATACACATCTCTTATCGTGGTGGATATATCAGACATGTTGAGCTAAAATTCTTATTTAGATCACCTAGCCAATAATTGTACTTTAGTGTGCATATATGGTTCAATCTCTGTTCTTTCTTTTTAGTAGCTCTATATCTCAAATATATTGTTATTTTAACCTTACTCTCCCTCCCTCCTTTCCTTCCTTCCTTCCTTCTCTCTCTCTCTCTCTTCCTTTTTTTCTATTATTTGTTACTTTGGGAAATAATATGCATAGGAATAGGACCAATGAAAGATGGCAGCTGTCCTGGGGAGAAAATTGAAGACCTGGGGTAAAGAATCTTAGGAGTGCAGATTGGTATGAAGGGTTATGAGGAAGGGAGGTAGGTGGGTGGAGGGATATGACTTTACATTCCTGACTCCTTCACCTCCTCACATCAGCAAGGCTTTTGCACACTTCACTAATGTTACCATGAAGATAGTAGAGGACAGCAACTGAGCTGTTGGTATTGACTTCCAGAAGAAGGGACAGAAAGGGATATTCCCAATGAAAAGTAGGGGAAAGGAGAGGAGCAGAACACATACGGGGCCTTAAATCTACGCTCTCTTGCATCCTACCATACCCTCTGCCCCAGTCAATAGCAACTCCCTGCGCCCAAGACATATATCATTTTCTGTGAGTTATCTTTTTTCTTAGGAAATACTCATTACTTTATTTGTTGAGTTGTTCACTTGTTTTTATCAGTTATTTAGTCTACATTTTTCTTTAACTTCTTGTAGTTTTTCTAGGGTACATTTTTTGAGGAATGAGTTAGAAATGGCATCAATTTGTCATTTTGAAAGTGACTCTGCAAATGTGCATTTAAAATGTACTTCTGATGGATGAAGAAAGGAAATGGTTTATTCTAGAATTCCTAGTTCTTAGGAAGAGGTTAATAAGTATTTGGGCAATGAATGTGTAAGCTGCATGCCTCTGGTGAAAAGCATCATATCTTGCTGCTTTCCATATATTTTGAACATAAAAGTGATCTCCTAGAGACAGAGAGTAAAATAATGGTTCACCAATAGCCTGGGAAAGGTAGTGAGGACAATGGGAGGTAAAGCGTAGGGGATGGTCAATGGGTGAAAAAAATATAGCTAGAAAAATGAACAATGTTTGATAGCACAACAAAGTGACGATAGTTAGTATTAAGTGTTTTATGATATGAATATACACTACAGAAAACTTTATTTTAACAGCATATTTTAAAATGTGTGTTCATGGGACACAATTATAAGAGAGACTTTACCTAATAAATGCAATCAGTGTAACCTAATTCTTTGTACCTCAATGAATCCCAAACAACAAAAAAAATAAAATAAATAAAATCTGTGTTCTTTTTTTTGCCCTGCTGAAAGATATAGACAATTATAATATAGACGGTACAGTAATAATGAGTATGCCTGTGTTCCTCTGAGAGTGTCTAAGAGGGTCCCCATGAGAAGGCACCAAACCTAAAAAGCCAGGAAGAAAATGCAAGGAAGGAGTGTGCTCTGCTCTGTGGAGTCCTTCAGAAAAGTCTCATTAACATGCCCAACATTAAGGAAGAGTGGGCATTCATCTGTGTCCAATAGGACAACAGTCTATTTTCTAGTTCTGAAGTTGGAGAACAATCTATTGTTTATTTTCTACTTCCAAAGTTCACTACCCTAAGATGTGAATAATGTCCAGAGTGCTCTGACTGTAAATGATGTAAAGTTTTTATCAGCCACTTGTCCCAGATGACTCTAAGAAGCTGATTCTCTTAAAGGGGCTAAAACAGCACACAGATAGCCTTCTCATGGAGAATCAAGGCTTCTGACTTCAAAGCTATTTAAATTTGTGGCTTCTATTCCATTCTTCATTCTCCAGTCTCTCATTTCCTTTTGTATCTTCTTATGGCAAAGACCAAAGACTACCAAAGTAGCCCCTTCTCAGTTTCCACCTTGGACCAGATCACGTTGTTCCCTTTGCAGTTGGTCATTTGGGATTTTTGGTCTTTACTGTGAGCTGTTGCGATAGTAATGCATACATTTCCTAGCTTTGTCATTTGAAGAATGAATTAATAAATGCATTTTTTAACCTCAAGGGAGGAGTGAGGTGCTCCTTCTGGTATTAATTCACATCACCTAACTATATCAAGATTCTCATTTCTAATTGAAAGATTATACACTGCATGCTAATTTTCTTATTCTTTTTTTATATTTTAGTTTCTAAAAAGAAATATAACGAATAAAAGTGAATCATGTGATGACATATAATCTGCTTAGTTATATTGATTAGGATGACAAAATACTAAGAACAGGATGGTGTTTGCAATAGCATGCAATTTTGAAGTTGTTCACAATTGATTTTGTTCAACAATGCATGCAACATCTCAAATAATCAACAACTAAACTGCTATATAAGCCTCCTTGACACACTTCCTACAATGAAAAAGCCTCAGAGAAGTAAAATAACTCGCTTGCCTTCATTCACCTGGGTGAAATTGAAATGGGAAGCAGAGAAAGAAGGGGAATAATGCTGGTTTAATTTAATTTCTACTCTCTACTACGTGACAGGTGTGAGTTTAGGGAAATCATGTAAATGATTTTGATGTGAATCACCTCTTACATATGATAATAACAAAACTTGCAGAAGTTAAAGAGCTTGATCAAGTCTGGGAAACAGCTAATATAATTACAGAGCTAGCAAATGGCTCACTAGGAATTTAAATCCCAAAAACTCTTATTTGGAAGCACAAGCTAAGTTAGGAGTGTCTTAGGAAGTCTCGGGGTTAGTAATTTTAGGGGGAAATGCGTACCCTCTCTCAGGACTCAGTGTTGAGCCATAAGGCCTCGCTGTGAGCTGTGAGCATGCTGAGATGAGGACAAGGATGATTCCATCAGGCCTCACTTCTTCCTCCTTCCAAACGCACATTCTTGTCCCTGACATTTTTCCAGGCTTGGGTATTCTAACTTTGGTTTGCGCTCTTTCAAACATTATAGGTCTCTTCTTTTTGGATCTTAATCAGCTTGTGTAACATACTGGACTAATCGTGAGTTTATGTCTTGGCTACTCTTCTTACTCGCTGTGCCAATGCAAGCTAGAAACTTAACTTCTTCAAGTTATTCCTTTTTGGTAAAAAACATTAAAATAATGTAGTTTTATTAGGAGCGCCTGAAGAAATAACATGTGAGAGCACTTTTTTGTTTTTACTCAACTGATCAGTTTTATGAGGCTATGAAGAAACTCAGATTAAATACACTCAATTAAGGCAGAGATGAGGTTGCCGTTAGGACCAGTGAGTAGGTGTTGAGTCAGTAGGTACTGGATCAAGTGTTAAGGAGAAAGAAGAACATCCTGTTACTTAAAGTATCTGTTTTTTATGTAACATTTAGTGTCTAGAGGTCCAGACATTAGGCCACATTGCAGGTGAACAGTGAAATGTTACTCCCTGCACAGTGGAACCAACATGCATAGTTCACAGGTGGGCAGAAAAGAAAGTAGTTGATCCTTAAAATGAAATAATTTTGTATCTAAAAAGTCAACAATCATTATTAGAAAAGCTGTCACCTGAAATCAAATGTTCTAGATGACAGATAGGCCAAAGTTCAACAATAATAATCCATATCCTAATCAGGGTTGTGAACGGAAAACCTTGTCAGTGAAAGGCAGGCTGACTGTTTGTAGAGGGATTCCAGGTGATTGACAGAGATGGAGACTTAGCCTTCACTATGGTTTTAGCTTCGTAAACTTGATGCTTCACCTCAGTCTTTTGTACATGTGTCAAACAGACCAGCCTTGTTTCAAACAACTCAGTCATGTGCTTGAGTCATCCTATCTCAGCCTCCTAGCTAGTCTAATAGCTACTTCTAACCCTGGGAGGAAAAGAGTCCTCTTCTTGGGAGCACACCTTTTAAATACAACCAGAGACAATACCCTTCCCAATTGCCCCTTTTATTGAGCTCTTATACCTGAGACCACTACAGAAATATTTTCTGCTCACTTCAGGGCCAGGGCAAACAACTCAGGGCAGCCTCTATGCCCCAGAGTCCACCAGAATCATTCAACCTGGCCAATCCTAAGCCTGCTTACCTTGTTTCATCTGTTCATCAGAAAATACAATGAAGGCTATTGCTCACAGGTTACCCCTCACCTTCTCCTTCATGATCAGCCCTGGAGCCTTCCCACATACCCCCTCACCCATGGCATGGCAGAGGGAGCTTCACGAAGTAATGTTTTCAATGGTAGTCTCATCTTGATCTTTTGGATTTATGATACCTCATGTTTTCTATTGATTCTGGAAATAAAATGTAAGGTCTAATGCTAGTAAATGATGTACAAGGTGGGTCTGGGCATTAGTTAAGATCTCATGTTTGCATGACTCTTAGGAGTACCATTCCTCCTGCATAAGGTGGATATGAGACATGAGGGTCAAAAGTACATCATTCTGAGAAAGAAAATCTAAAGAGAAGGTTGATCTTTAAACTTTGCTGTGTGTTATGCTTCATAACCATTATTGAGTTGATCAAATGGGCAGAAGGCATTGGTGTGTCCCTGAGAGCTGCTTATTTAGTTGACATGGAGTGGCTCAGGGATCCACTTGACTTAATGTACTTCATGGTCAGTCCCACCCCACAGTCTGCAGGCCACTGATGTGGGGCTTGACACCAGCGCTCTTGGCCCACTCTGTCCCTCGGTTTCTCATCCATAAAAGAAGGCTGGGATTTGTATGATGGCCACAGTCAAATAAAATAGTTATCTCTTCTTGGCATAAATGCTGCCCCAGTATCATTCTGATCATGGTAACTGACACCTCTTTTATTGTGTTTTCGTTTTTATTTTTTATAGGTGTTTTTGTTCCATCGTGATTTTAGAAAAAAAGAAAACAATTTCCCAGCTGCAAAGCAAAGGGCACAAGGAAGAAACACACTTACGGTGGCTTGGTGTTTCTCTGCTTTCTCAGACGTCTCTTTAAGTTGATTTTGCAGGGCCTCCTGAAGAGACTTCATTTCTTCTCTAGTTTACCAGAAAGCATAGCAAAAAAGAAAAATATATATATATAATTCTATTATTTCCTATGCACATTATGAAAGGAAGCTTTACTGTCTACCCGCATGTAGGAAGCAGACAACTAGTGTCGTCCAAAGCCACAGTTAAGCACACAGGCTGCACTAAAAAGCATGGGTAATAAAGGGCTTTCTCTTTCATGCAAATACTAAAAGCAAGAAATTGCCTTGCTATTATAAGAATCCCACTGTGTGAATCACCCATGAGGTACGTAATGTGTTAGATCAAATCAGTATAATAATTCAAGTTGAAAAGCTAATTTCACTGACAGAATGCCAGGGTGTGAGCATGCTGGTTGGAAAAAGTCACCATAGACTTGCTGATAGCATAACATTACTGTTTCCTTCTTGCGTTCCTAATTGATTAATTCTAAAGCATTATGCTTTAGACATCCTTCACAGGGCCCGAACTTTTCATAAAAATAAAGCGAAAAGAGATGTTTTGCTAACTTGAGGGCTCCTTTAACGAGGATAACAAAGGAAGTGCATGCCTGTGCATATATTCATGGTGTTTTCAGCTCCCTAAGACAGAGGGGCCCTGAGGGCTTTGTTAGAAATAGGAAGATTCCCCAAATTAGCATTATTCTGACAAGTTTAGATTTTACTTATTTATGACAAATCATTCTATCTTTCTGTGCCTTGATTTTATCACCCAAGCTCTCACTTCAAAAAAAAAAAAAAAATCAGATATTAGATGTGTGTGTGTGTGTGAAAAGAAACTCCCTCTAAGCAATAAGAACAACAACCCAGAAACATGTTCTAATAGTACCAGTAGCTAAAGTATTTAAAATTCCCACCATAACGTCAAAGACTCTGTCTGGAAATTTAGGGAAATGACAAGTGTTCGTATAGTCAACTTCTTCAGTGATAAAGCAGGCACAATGATAGAACTGACTTGTAGGCTTGTAGTCAAGATTTAGGTGGCACAAGGTAAGCCAAATGCTCAGCATGATGCTTGGAAAGGGTTACTTCACAAATGCTAGATCATCACCTTGACCACCAGCACCTCTCCCGACTCCCAGGTCCATCCTTGTCCACTGCGTTCTATACAAACTAAAGCTGCTCTTTCAGCATACAGGACTTCATGGTGCCCCTGGCTTCCTACTCTAGAAACTCTTTTGTCCCAGTCTAAATTTCAAGACTGTGAGAGAGGATTTCTATGCTTATTGGAATCAATTTGGGCTTAGGGCAACAAACAAAAACATAGTTAGAACCAGTTATAAAACAATTACACTCACTTTGGTTTTTTGATGATTTATGCTTGCTCGGGAGATGCTTATAACATGTTTTGCTTAAAGTGGATTCTAAGTTACAATTTCCATTACTGCTTCAAACTGGTCTCATTTATCACACCTGTTTCATGAATGAACACTTAAAATCCAGGCTTCCGTTATTACTTTCCAATATTTTTAACAAATAGCTTTTGTAGTATATGTAATGTAATACAATGAAATGGAATGTAAATATCTACATATATTGTAGGCTTACAAAGTGCAAGCCATTCTTACGAATCCTCACATCAAACTGTGGATTATAGTATAGATGGGTGGTTCTCAACCTTCCTAATGCCGCAATGTATTTTTATTGTTAAAAAGGGGTTGTGACCCACAGGTTGAGAACTGCTGGTATTGATAGAAAACTGATGGATAAAGAAGTGGTAAAATTGTGTTCTGGAGTCTACGCATTTAAACACATAGTGATTATACTACCTTTACTGAAAGAGAGGGAAGGAAGCAACTATACATGATCACTAACACTCAAATCTTCAACAATCACTGAACAAAATGCAAAAACATTATTATAATAAAGGACTTTTGTATTTGACCACTCAAGGGACTGCAACAAAATGGTCAACATACAGAGATGGTCAAATTAAGGACAAGGCCTACTGTACTGATACGTATATGTGGTGTATGTCTGGTCTACGAAAATTAGGTGACCTTAAGGAGGTCAGTCAATGTAAGGAGATGGTCAACTATAAAGGTTCTACTGTATGTTCTTTCAAAAAGAGCCCATACTGACATCTAGAGGCAATGGAGGGAACAAGACAAAAAATAACCTAAAATCTGTCAAAAAAGACAGGGGAAGGTTGAGAATTCTGCACATTTTCATGTCTATCAGGCAGATTGATAAAGTGAGCCTTTGTCTTCTAAATCTCTCTATCTCTTCTCTGCCTCCAGTATAGGTTTATTTTCTTGTAATGCTCACTGCTCTTAAGGTTTAGGTGACCCTAAATTTCTACTTCACAGACTTGCTAAGTTACCCCACAATGGGAGATGATTTCACCACTTCCCACCAGCAACTAGGAAGTGCAAAACTATATCTCGCTACTCTAGGGTTCTATATGGTACTAACCTGAGGCATTAATTGTAAAGAATCGATGGCTCCAGGGACACCAGTGATAGAATGCTCAAATATTGAAGTCTTTTAGCATAAAATTTTGCTACAAGGGATCTTACAGGGCAGTTATTTCACACCTCTTCTATCTCAAATTATAAATAGCAAAACACACTAGCCACAATCACTCTGTATGGGAGCATTTCATTCAAGCGGTTATTAACTCATATTGTCATAACATCACAGGTGGAGAACTCGATGCTACTACAGACATTCTTTTAAGTTTTAAAAAATATTATTGTGAAGTCCTTCATAATAATACCAAGTTTAAAGTTACCTTACAGGGATATACACTCATCAAAAACTGCAAAGAATGAAATGTTTTCTTTCTTTCTTTTATTTTTTCTTAAGACAACCTTTCAGATATTTCAAGATACTATCCTATCATCTAGTTTCCTTTTCTTGGTTAGATAATCTCAGTTCTGACAGAATGTGTTTTAAAATTTCTCTATTGGCTGGGTATAATGGCTCACACCTATAATACTAGCACTCTTTGAAGCAGAGGCGTGTGGATCACCTGAGCTCATGGGTTCGAGACCAGCCTAAGCGAGAGCCAGACCCCATCACTAAAAATAGCCAGGCACTGTGGCGGGTGCCTGTAGTCCCAGGGAGGCTGAGGCAAGAGGATTGCTTGAGCTCAAGAGCCTGAGGTTGCTGTGAGCAAGGATACCACTGTCACTGGTGTTGCACGTACATCACAAAAAGGTTATTTCCATTTTTTCTATTTTTCTGTATTCTCTCCTTTCCCGATGTGAAATACTCTACACAGAATAATCATTTGGGATGTTTCTTGGAGATTTTTTTTTTATCATTAATTTATTATTTTATTTTTTCTCTTTTCAAGAATACAATATATTGATAAATATAACCCCATGTTACACAAAAGATCTGAATTTATACCTCTTATCTAATGAAACTTAATAGTCTTTGAGCAATAACTTCCTAATCACTCACTCAACCACCACAACCAACATTCTACTCTTTAATTCTGTGAGATCAACTTCTTTAGCTCCCAGATATGAGTGTGACAGTGGCATATGTTTTTCTATGCCTGCCTTATTTCTCTTACCATAATGTGCTCCAGATTGATACACGTTGTCACAAATGACAGGATTTCCTTCTTTTTATGGGAGAATAGTATTCCATTAATACTGCACCTTATTTATAAATTCAGCAAGCAGGCTGTCAAATATATATTCTACAAATATTAGGGAAGATTGACAACCTCCCTGCTAAATTTATATTTTAAATTCTTATAATTTATAAGTAGTTGTAATCACTACTTCAATGAGCCACAGATACTTGTGTAATATTAAACATGCATTTTGGAAGAGGTGATTTATTTTAAAGCTAATGCAATCATTTAAAATGATGCAGCATTAATATGTTTTCAAAATGCTCAAAAATATTTTATTCCATACATTTTTAATATTAGATTCTGAAGAGAATTTCACATTCAATAAATAATAAATACATCATTGTAAATCATAAAATAGTGTCAATGCAAGACTCTATTTTATATTTGTAACAGATGCCATTGTCTCAAGTAAAATGCATGTCACTTATAGGCTTCCAGGTCAAGAATTAAGGTCAGCAGAAGAGATATAGTCCAATGAGGAGAAACTTAGGCTCTGCTCCATATAGCATCTATTTAGAAAGTGAACCACTGTGGAAGGCTGTGGCTACAGGGTAGGGCACAGCAGAGTTTAAATTCAAATCCCAATTACGTGACTCTCAGCAATCCACTTAAACACTCTGAGTAACAATTTTCTTCCTATGCATGGAAGTAATACCTACTTCACAAGGTAATTTTGAGAATGAAACAAGAACATGTATATAAAGCATCTGGAAGATTCCCTTGTGATACATAATGAATGTGAGCTGGTTTCTGTGTGAAAAATCTCTCATTTTGCTTTTTTAATTTTTACATTTTTCCTCAGAGAAGCAATTTCAAAATCATATGACTTTTTATAATCCCTAGAAATCTATCTCATAATATATTTCCCTCAAAACTAAACAAACTAATACTAATAAAATTGTCCCAATTCTGCTTAAATTGTCAATAAAATCATGCTAGTCTCTGCCACCTCCCTGTTATTATCAGAAAGTTCTGATTGTATTAAATGTGGTGCACTGAAGTCCATGTTAGTGAACGTGTTTATTGATTATGGGGACATTTCGCTCAAACCGTGATCTACACACAGAGAACATCCACATCACCGAAGATCTTGTTAGAAATGCAGAATCCCGAGCCCACCCCATATCTACACTGTAGGAATATACATTGAAATAAGATTCCCTGCTTGAAGCACATGCACACTTATTTACAATAAATGTGAGTACAAAGGGAAATCAGTACATGCATTTAGGATAGGTGAAAACCTGCTTAACAGGTATGATGAACACTGTCTGGGTGAAGGGAACGCTTATCACCGTGACTGAAGCATTATAAAAGTGATCCACGTACGCCAAATTATCTGTGTAGTGTACACATGTAATTGAAAGAAAATAAAATAAATAGGTTCTAGTGAAGTCTCTAAATGTAGCTGGACGTAACGGCAAAAAGAACTAAGAGGAAAAAAAAAAGAAAAGAAAAGCACAGTCTTACCTTTGTTTCTGGCCTAATTCCAGAAGCTTCTGAACATCAGTTTTGGAGGACTGCTCATCATTTTTTAAAGACTGATAAGAAACATGGAAAAAAGAAAATCAAACTCGGTTGAAAGTGAAAGGCGTGCTTTACTTTTGGTTCTATGATACAAGGCACCACTGCACCTGTGCCCTGGAACAAGCATGTGAAAACGAATTAGGATCGTCCTCACAGCCCGAAGATACAGAGGGATTTTCGACCCCAGCTAGTCCATACACTACCTGTGGGTAATAGAGATTGAGTGGACACTCAGCTTTTAGAGGCTAGATGGAGAAGAAACTATTCTCTAAATATTTAAGTTTTTAATAGATAAACATAAAGTACATCTTTCTCCTTCCTCTGAAGTTTTATTGTGTTCTCTGTAAGTGTGTTAAACCAGCTCTGGTACATATTCTACACATACTAGGGAAGATTGACAGCCTCCCTGCATAATCTAGGAAGGAACACAAAGATTAAATCAGCTAAAAGACAAGTGCAGGTCTGGTCTTGGTCTATTTCTTATTTAAGAGTAATGAACTAGAATACATCAAAAAGAAGGCCATCTAAAATTGTAACTGATCTTTAAAGACAGCGTGTTAAGAAAAAATATATATATATATACCACTTCAGTCATTAGTATTTATATACTCTGGCAAATTCAGGATACAGAGAGCATGAATTATAGAAGAAAAAACCCTTGAGCTTCTTCTCAGAAAAGAATCTGTCCTATTAAGCCTTCTTTTATTGATGTTCAATAAACTGTTTAATATGGTAACCTGTCATTCCTGACATTAAAAGTTGAAACTAAGGGACAACAATGTTGTTTGCAGAGGAAGAGCTGTGACCAGTAGGGAATTGATAATAGCAAGAAGGGTAAAGACTTTGTTTATTTAATATTTATTTAGCAAATACTCCTCATAAATTATGCAAAGACCTACGCAAAGTGATAATGCCTCCCTTCACAGATTGTTCAATCTAATGCTGAAAACAATTTTGATGTAGCATGTAAGTACTTCATTAAGGAGGTCACAGAAACAGCTTCACAAGACAAACATCGTCCCTGAAATGACTGACTGAGTTTATCACCAGGAAGCAATAGATAGTGTTCTGTTTATTTGGAAAGAGCAGCTTCATGTGTATACAAGACAGCACAGTGAGGAACTGAAATGAGGGGAAGCACCATCCTTCACAGGATCTACAGTGCCAAGTGCATCACGGCCACAAAATCAGCCCTTTGACGTCCTCGTCTGAAAAACAAAAATGAAAATTCTGAAGACCCTATTTGGAGAATTATGGCAAAACTAAGAGGGGGTGACAGATGTATGAAAACATTTAGTGAAAAAGTAATAAAAATATGCTTATTCATTGAATGACCATCGTTTATACTGTGGGCATTCAGAAGAAAACGGAGATGAACAGGTCAGGCAACTGTACTTAAGAAACGACAAGGGCGGTGCCTACTCCTGCCTCAAGGGAGTAGGGCGCTGGCACCATATGTAGGGGGTGGCAGGTTCAAACCCAGGCCTGGCCAAAAACTGCAAAAAAAAGAAAAAAAGAAAGAAAAAAGAAACGACAACAAAAGACAAAACTGAGGTGCAGAAATGAAAACCACAGTTACGGAGATGTGGGTGACTAAGACATGTCAAACTACATGAGAGGGAGTATAGGTCCTTAAAATTTCCTCAGTAGTGTCTGGCAAAATGGAGTATAATTTTCTGACATTAATATTACTAATAGCTCCTTTAAGGATCCCAGTGACTGAAAAACCTACTAATTAGCTAATAAGTTGATTAATTATTGCCTAATATTTTTATCCCATTCAGGTGCTGTAGTTACAGATATGAGTAAGACTTTCAAAGCTCCTATCTTCCTGTAGTTCCATTAGGGAAAACAGAAAAAAAGGCATGCTGGGCTAGTCAATTATTCACTCTTAAGTGTGAAAGCTAGAATCGTTTTTTTGTATGTATGACTTTGGAAGATTCCTGTGGCCGATTGGAGTATTGTTTCCAAATTTTATAGTGCATACAATATATTCTTAATTTTGTGGCAATGTTGCAAAGAGGATTCAGTAAGATAAATACGAAAAAAGTCTTGCACAGTGGCTGGAGCACAATAAACACAAATCATTTTTAAAAATTGCAACTACATTTTGTTTTAAAATTGCTCCCCTGTCAAACATGTTACTCCATGAAAGTATATATTTCATTAGCAATTTTCTAGCCTATAATTGGATGTATGACTTAGGGTACTGATGCAGAAAGACTGTCTTGGAAATACTGTGAACACTGAACACTTGTGAGCGTTTCATGACATGCTTGCTTGCAACATTCTCAGCGTGTCAGGTGCTCCTTGTCTCTGAGAAGGCACAAGTGCCTGTATATTCTTCAGTTCTTATTTGTCTCATGAGTTTCCACTTAAGGCTAAAGCGCAGCTCAGGCATTAGTTTCTATAGAAATCAATTTGTACCCAAGTGAGTGTTTCCCTAAGGTTCTGTGTCTACTTTTAGGACTACTTTTCCTACACTGTTGTCATTTTTTCTCTCTGTGTCCTACTAAGTTCTGGATGCTTTTTTTCTTTTTCTTTTATTTCTGTTTTCTCCAGTTGTTAACACAATCACTGGAACAAGTGCTTGGTATGCAGAGTTCAAATAGCTCTGTCTCCTATCTGGATACTATTAGATTTTTAATATTGCTGCAACTCTTTTTTTCACTTACAAAATGAGACTAATACAACTTTATTATAGTCTTCATGTGAAAATAAAAAAATGGGAAAAGCATGTAACACTGGCCCTTGACCATGTTCAATGAGCCTTCATGGTTAATAATGCCATCATCTCCATCATCCTCATGAGACTAAAAAGTTAAAAAGGGTGTAGTCAATGGTACTTGACCCACATGTTTCAGATACATGATTCAGGTCAGTAACTAATATACTGTGGAGCCAGATTGTCTACGTTTATTTTTAAATTCTAGATCTTTTTGTTAGATACAAGAAATAGCTTATTATCTCTGAGCATGATTTATCCTGCTTTTCAAGGAAAAACACAATGATAATATCTACCTTATAAATATATTATGAAAATTAACTCATTTAATACTTGCAAAGCTTTTGGCATATATTAAATATTCAATAAATGCAATGTTTAAGTCAGATATTTCAGATGTTTTTATTAGCTATAGACTCTGGTTTGGGATTTTTGATTGAGATATCAACATGTTACAATATTTTTATGGATGACACTCTTCTTTCTAAGCCATTTGTTCATTTTAGTCATGAGATTTGTTTAAGAATCTTTAGTGCTTTCCTGGGGGAATTTAAAATTCTCTTATTGACTTCATTCATATAGTCACTTAACTCTTAGTCATAATTTCTTTTTGTCATTTTATAATGTCAGAACCATAGGTGTCAAATTGATCTTTGAAGCTGTGAGGAATTGATGGCTTTACCAACCACGGGATTTTCTTATCCTATATTTGCAAACTACATATTCCTAGACGACATCTCAAATGTGACTTGTTTTCAAAGCTTCTACAAACAGTCCCCAACTTACATACAACTCACACTTACATAGCAGAGGCTATTACAAGAAGTCCCTGAGTTAAAAACATCCACCTGATGAGCAATTCAGGCAAATGCATGCAATTTATGCTATCACAGACTAGAGGTAAATGTATTTGTTCCAACCTACATGCAAATTCAACTTAAGAACCAACCCACAGAACTGACCTTTTTCCTAATCCAGAGACTGCATTATGATAGTAAAAATTAACTACCATGATCAAGCCCTGAGATGTATTAAAAACTGTTAAAAATGTATGTTGGTCTGCTAGGGAATATCAGGTGACTTCTCATTCTTTCTCACCAGGAAAATTAGTTTCCTCTCACCTGAAGATTGACTTTAATTCCATCAAGCTCTCGTGATGTCTTTGTCAGCTGACGGAGGATGGTGCTTCGCTCCTTAAAGACTTCTTTCAGCTGCTTTTCTAGCTGTTCATAGTCCTGTCTAACACAGAAAGAGCAGGCATGAGAGCCCCCAAATACCTCTACTTGGCATCAGTCAGAATCAACCCTCACATAAGTTTAAATATAGATTAAACTTTAGTTACTTGGATATTGATCATTACACTTCCATAAAAAAGTGACAATGCAAAAAACCCCTAGGCGTTTTATAAAAACGATGTCATTTCCAGTAAGGACTATCCCCACTCAAGAGATGTTTCAATACAACATGGTACATTTTCCATATATATGATGAAGCTTTGAAAACAGATACTCTTTGAAAACAGATACTTTTCCTGACATCAAATGTATTTTCAAAGGTTCTTAAAATTCTGCCCCTTTGATTGGAGCAATGTTTCTCAGAGACATAGGAGGCTCTGACATTGGAAAACAATAAACTTTAGGGTAGAGCCAGAACACAAAATAGGGGCCATCCTTCTTCCCTGGTTTGTAGACAAGGTGGCCTCTTTGACTTGTGATCCCTTCTAAACATGGATAAGAATCCCTATTGCTATTAAAGAGGTCCTGGGAGAAGTAACACCTCTATGACAATCAGGCAATAAATATTAATTACAATGAACTTAGAACAGACTTGTTAACAAGAGCTTCGAAGAAAAGATTTCATTACCTCAGACCCATACATATGCAAATTCATTTTTTCTCTAATGATCTTTACAAGAAGGTAAGACACATAGGGCAATTCTCATTTTGCAAATGTAAAAACAAGAGGAACTCTGAGAAATTAAGTTTCTACCCCAGGTCCTTATTAAAAGAAAGAATAAGCAAGAAGTATTTGTATGTGGGTATATGTGTGTGTTTGGCAAGTTGGAGGGATATGAGGAAACAGACCAGTGCAAGGCATCCCCAAGCTGTAATCTATGGGAGAACATTAAAATGATGAATTGGAGCACATGAGAAAGAAGTCAATCCAGGGAAGTCTTCCTAGGGAAGGAAATATAAAATACCTAAGATGTGCACTGAAAAATAAATGGAAATTAGGCAGATGAAAGGGTAAAGAATGTGTAAATACTGATAAAAATAAATTTACTGAATTTTTTAAAAAGTGAATAAATGTCACAAGGTTTGGACTTCTAAACGGGGAGTTAGAGTTTTGCTGCTTATGTGAGGACATAAAAAGTATGAGCAAAAGCATGTAAGCCACTTAAGTGATAATGGGCAATATTAAATATTTTGAGAATAAGGAGAAGTAATTGAAAGGTTATAAGCAATGAATGACACGATCAGATTTAAAATTAGCGTAAACTTGGCAATGAACTGGAGCAGGGGAAAACCTGCAGAAAGAGAGCCTGTTAAAGAAGTTACCATTGCAAGAGTCTAAGCAAAAGATCACGGTAGCCTAAGCTACACCAGAAGCAAGTGGGAGAGGGAAATTTGAATTGATTTTATGAAAGCATAGCCCTTTCTTAAGTTCTTTTGTTTGTTTGTGGGAAGAAAAGTCAGGAGAGAGCTAGTTAATGATGATTCATTTTTCTGGCTTAAGCGACAGTTGGAGACAGCCCTTCACTGGGAAGGGAGTCATTGGAAAAGCAGCATTTTTCATGAAAGATGAGCTAAGAAGTTCAATTTTGAACTTGCAGGAAAATGGCTCAACGGCTCTCAGTTTCAGCTTCTTTATCTGTAGAACGTTAAGACTGACCTCGCCCATGTGTTTATGTGTTAACCAGAGTTATTGATGCAAAGTTTTGAACCTATAATGGGTAATAAGTTATGATATTATATATAATTTCTATTGCTGAGAAATAGGATGAATTCCTGTAGAATTATAAAGAATCTGGGTGTAGCAATGGCCTCTGTGAAAATTAACTAAAGCATCTCCTCTAGAATAGGCTGCTATTACAATTCTTAGCACTGTTCTCATATGTCATGTGTAGGTTGCTGCATTCTTCACATTCCTCTTGTCAAAAGGAAATCGGAATGGTCTACTGCTTAGAACCACCATATTTCTTGCCTGACTTGAGAACTTCACTGATGAACAGTAATCAGCCAGTAATCAGACAGTTATCAACGCCCCAGGTTTCCATTAACTCTCACTGGCAAAGTCTAATAATAAATGGAAAGCTGATTTTCATTATTTTCTAGTTTTACAACTTTATTTTATAACCCACTTCATTTGTTCTGAACAATAATTACATCTCCAAAATTACCTTGAGTGAGCAAAGTAAATCATAGTAGTAGATAGTACACGCTGACAATGTGTTATGTGTAAGATGGCAATATTCATATCAACTTATTTAATCTTTAAGACAACTCCATGATGTGAGCCCTCATATTAACCCTGTTTTACAGTTATAGAAGTTGACTCCCAACAATAGTGAATAACTTTCAAATATGTGTTGTTATTAAGGAGGTGGAAAATCACTTACCTTCCAGAGCCAGATGTCTTAACCCCTACTTTGTAAAACATCCTGACTTGCTATGAGTTTGTCATACTTAGCACTATGACTTTATCCCAGTTAAATATTCGTCGAGCACTTTAAGACATTATTGGCTATTACTTCATTTTTCTGTATATGTGCATGTTTTCAATGTTGGATTTATTTGCCATTTACTATTTTCATTAAATAAAATTATAAATAGCACTTTAAAAATAATTTATAGGCATCTTTTATTTCCATGATGGTATTTTTTTTTTTTTTCAAATAGCATTAGGAGGAAAAGCAAGCCAATATAAATCACTCTATTTTCTGGTAAATACATTGCCAACCATGAATAAGATATAGTTAATCCGGAAAATATAGCCAGTAGTGTTAATTAATAGCACCACTCTAGAACCAATCATTCAAGCTAATTATGAGAGAGAAATCTAGATGACTATAAAGGAAGTATTGGTTAATATTTCATCAGATTTTTTGTGTGTTGAAAACTGAGTACATGTAATTTTTTAGTTTTGTTTTTATTTCTTGGCAAAATATTAATAAAGTGAATCTACTACTCTCATATGTTCTGCAACTGGCTTTATACATTTTTTCTATGTCCATATATGTTATTACCCATTTTCTATGTACTTGAAAATATTTTACTACTAGGAACTCATGGTGTTTCTATTTTTTTCTTTTTTTCTTATAAAGTAATGAAATTCATATATGTGTGCACAAATATCATTTCTTAAATACCTCTAAGATAAATGCAGAAATAGGATATTCTAGCATAAATTAGAAATATTTCACTAAAAGTTACCATGTTAATCTTGATACGTGCTATTAAATTGCCTTCCCATAAACTGGTCTCGCCTGGTCTAACTCTAGTATCAGTATATTCTGATATTCTTCTCCATACGTTCTCCTAAACGAGATATTGTCCCCCATTACAACTTGATTGTTCATATTTATTAATTTCATGAGTGTAAAATATCATCTTTCTGATGTAATTCCCATTTATTCCATTAAAGAGATTGATTATATTGTTCTACTTTTACTAGCTCTATTTATTTTCTGTGAATTTTCTGTTTATGCCTTTTATCTATTTGTATGTTGAATTTGTTATTAGTAGTTGTCCTACTGCTGTAACAAAAGTACCACACAATGAATCATTCAGACAATGGAAATTTTTCTCTCATAATTCTTGATGCTGGAAGTCCCAAACCCAGTTTTTGGCAAGGTTGGTTTCTTAGGAGAGCTGTGAGAGAAGGATCTACTTCAGTCTTCTCTCACTAGCATTTAGATGGTTTTTTTCCTCTTTTTATTTCTTTATAACATCTTTCTTAAATGTGTATCTCTGTGTCTAAATTTCCTGTTTTTATATGGACACTACCTATATTGGTCTGGGTCCCTTATAACGGGTTCATTTTGTCTTAGTTCTCTCTGTTAGGCTCCGATCTGCAAATGAAGTTTCTTGTAAGTATTGGAGGTTATGACTTCCTTGTGTGACTTTGGCAGGGACATATCCAGTCCATTATACTGTTTCATCTCTTTACCAGCTTCTTGTTCAGAGGTTATTTCACTATCATTATATGGATAAAAACTTTTCCAAACTGATTATTGACAATAAAATTTATCTCTCCCCAATTTCTTTGAAATACATATGTAGCCAATTTTGTTTGTTGGTGGCGTCTGTATTATCTGGATTGCTATTACACAGTTAGATCTTCCCCGTCCCAATAACGTTCTATAAAAGTTTCTGTATATTTATACAAATTCATACATTGTTAATTGGTGCTAAACTACCCAATAAATTTTAGAATGTATATAAACAAGTCCTTACATAGTATAGAATATTATATAGTATATATTAATATAATATTACATAATGATATATGTATTATATAGAATATCCTGTTATACTGTTATTATATAATGTGATGCTATATTATATAATTATATTGTATTAGATATAATATATAATTACATAGTATTATATA